GTTATATTCTGAAATTGGCACTTAATACAATGTTAACAAGTTCCCCTAAAATTTTCAACAATTAAAATAAAGGAGATACACAATTTAGTAATGTTTAAATGTTATTGTGTAATTCCAGTAAGTCTCAATTTATTAAGCATAATTGGATCTTTAAAATTGTGGCCATTTCCCAAAGACACCAATTTATATTATGACTTAGACTCGGGAGAGAATGTCTGTCTCCTTATTTTTTTCCCCTTTTAATATTGAAAGTAAAAATTTTCACTATCTTCAACCCAATCATTCTGAGTAAATATCTTGGTGACTCATACATATATGGCTGAAGATTCAAATGCAGAGAGCCAAAAAGAATGGATATGACCTTAATCAAAGGTTATAGTACATTCTTGCACCCTGCAAACACTTAGAAAAGTCAAAGGGATACTGACTTGAACAGAGATTCAAGGCATGGTGCAATTATGATTGTATTAAGGCTTTCACTGTCATGATCTCTCAGTCTCTCCACGTAAGTGTTCTCATACTCATTCGCATGTGAACATAAACGGTTACAAGGGCCTTGTTTTGGCTCTGCAGTGGGCAGCTACTTTACCATGTCTGAATGTTAAAGGTGATCCCACTGAGCTCAGAGAGCAGAGACAATATGGTAAGGATCAACTTTAAAGTTTTCAATACCAAGACAACGATCAACACTTTGAAGCAAGATGAATAAAATAAATTACTGATCAGACATACATGTAGTCTTGCCAAGAATAAACACACTGTGTGGAAAGATTCTGCATGAGTCCTAATGTATGCCCATTACATTTGTTTATAGGAGACACTGCAAGTTTAAGGTAATTTACATTCCTTGGCAATCAAGTTACTCTGTTACAGGCAATGTCTTTTATTGTTCTCTCTGGCACTTGCTAACACCATTCTTGAAGAACTTGGAAATGAAGGTTAGTCACTCTGTTTATCAAGAACAGAACCAAGTAAAAACAATTTTTTTGAAAAAAAGGCCAAGAAATTCTGCTTCTCCACTATTTTCCCTATCCAGTGGTTCTTTCAAGATAAAACATAACTCTTCTTTCCATGATAGCCTTCCAATAAATGGAGATTAAAAAAAAATAAGAAAACAAAGTTCCCCACCCTCGCCCTCTAGGTTATCATTCATACTGGTGAAAAGAGCCAGTCTTGTTAGCAGCTAAATATTGCACTGCCTTTCATTCTGTGGACAGTCAGGGTCCAATGACAGTGGCACACTCATGGAATATGGGATGGATAATGACACGCCGGCTCAAGAGTGAAGACGTAGGATTGTGGAGGGAAAAGAAACATGTCAGCACTAGTCACACACATCCAGTTGCAAACGTCTGATTTCCAGAAGTTAAAATTCGTCACTTTCAGCTGCATGAAGTTGAGTATCATCGGCATCTGTCATGCTACTCTCCTGGGATTCATCTGTTCCCA